CTTTTATTTTTTTTAATGTAGCATAACTGTGGACAGGGAGGGGGTACTATCCTGAGGACAGAATCCTGACTTTAACAAGGCACAGCTCTTGTCTTTGAGTTCATAAGATCTCACTGTAAGATAGAAAGGCATTGAAGGTCAGTAGAATTAACATGCAATAAAATTTACTGGGAAGGAAGCCATACGGAATTCTAGAGTTTGTGTAAACAGAATATCAAGAAGGATGTATTAATGGAAAGAGGACATATTTCAGGCACCAGACTCATCGATTTTTTGATCAAGTTAGAGATTTTCGGGGCAGGGGTGGTGGTGCTGGGATTGAACCCAGAACCTTGTGCATGCAAGGCAACACTACCACTGACCTTTCTCCCCAAATAAAATATGCTTTCAGATACATTAAGCTATTCTTCGGTATCTGTAATCCTTCATAATAAAGTTCACAGTATAAGTTTTAGCAATATTTTCAATAAAATCTGTGGAATAATTAAATTTCCAAGTAATGAAGAAACATTAAATTGAAAGCAATGTCTGAGAAACTCAAAGTAACAGACTCCCAGGCTTAATGAATTAGAGGAGTACCTTGTGTTAATCAAAGCTGTCACTGAGGAACCCAGATCTTTGCAAGACAGCTTGTGGGTCTCCTGTGACATGTCTGGGGGAGGGCAGAACTCACACTCTGCTATTTACACTGGCTTGTGAGCTCTGGTAGTAGGTGTTGACTTTGTGGATTCATGACATACATGCTTAGGAACTGAGTAAACTTTCAAGATCGATTCCATCCCTAGGTTCCACTATGTTAATAACTTCTGATAGTTTCCAAATAAGAATCTGGGAAGGACTCAAGCAATTCCCACAGACTATTTATCTCAGGAATTCACTTCCTGACTCAAGAATCTCAGACTATTAGGCAACAGGCAAAGTCTATGGATAGTATCTATGACTCCAGTGACTGGTCAGATGCAGGAACTTCCCCTGAGCAAGAATTTTTTCTGGCCCTGCAATCCTATGAAAAGGTTAATATTTTGTCATTAAATTATAAAGGTTGCAACTTGTATTTGGGGTAAAAAATGGGAGTTCATAACCCATTTGAATCAAATGTATGGAAGATGATATGTCATGAGCTTTGTAATGATTTGAACAACCAATAAAAAAAATTATAAAGGTAAATTATTGATTCCATACATATTCAATGAAAACATTTTTAAATTCATGTACAGAATGAATGTAAAAAGGGAGAAAATTTCTCCCTGATAGATTACTACTGTTTTTTTCAATGTTTTTGTTATATATAAAGTGTTTTGAAATCTGTATTCTGAAGGTTAAAAATAGCCCTGAGGCAGAACACAGTATCTAAGATCTTTGTACTTGGGGGGAATGGCTTCATTTACAGATATCATTATGCATATAATTGAATTGGAACTAAGCAAGTTGAATTTTCTATTCTTCAAAGGCAAGTATAGTTTCTAACCAAGCTTGTATAATATTTAGGGAAAAAGCTATTTCTAAAACAATGGCTCATTTATATAATGCTAGTACTATGAAAAAGAGAAAACTATATCTATATTCATTAAGATACAATAATATCCAAAATATATTACATTTAAACAAAATCAAACTGCAAAAAAGGTATGTTAATATCTGTGTTGAGGAAGAGATAGATAGGTCAATGTGTTAGCCAGATTTCCATCACTAAGACAAAAATCTAAAATAATCAACGTATTAAAAAGAAAGGTTTATTTTGCTTATGGTTTCAGAAGTTTCAACAGCAGTAGAAGAATAGGAAATAATTCACAGTGTATTTCACGAAGCTGGAATTACCTGGCCATGAAACCAAAGGAGACTGCCAGAATAAAACCATGAAGGAAACCTAACATGAACAGACTCAAGTTCATCATGAATGTAGATACAAATATCCCTGTATAAGGCATTTTAGGAACAAGCCAGGAAAGACATATAATGGTATGGGTTGATGTAGAATAATTATAAGACAAAAGTCAACATTCACGGATAAAAACTCTCAGATAGAACTGGAACATGTTATGGATTAAAACATGTCCTCCAAAGACACATGTAGGTTCAATATTCCAATGGATTTTTTTTCCAGAAGTGATATTATGATGATGTAATTACCTATGATGGAGTCATGAGGGGCTAGCATGAGCTCCTGGATCACCCTGACTTGCGTCCTTATGAGGAGAGCAGGGTAAACACTTGATTCCATCTGGTGAACTCTCTATGAAGAGAGCAGAGCAACTTTTGGTTTAGTGTGACTTCTGTCCTTCTATGACTATCTTCTCTCCTGTTTAGTTGACATTTGTGGTGAAACATTTTAATACTTATAGCTCTCACTGGGGTAGGTCCTGTAGATATTTCTTTGTGGTTCCTGAGGTGGGGTGGCCATGATACCCCTCAAGAACAACATGAGAAAGGAATACCACCTTGATACGAAACTGCAGCAGAGCTAACTAACTCAGTAGTGTAGAGAAGGCTGTTAAATTGCCTCTGCATCCCTACGCCCTCAGCTGCTGATGTCACAATATTACATGTGTAGGTACTGTGTGTTTAATACCATAGAATAGAGTTGGGGTTTTCTGTTACATGTGTCTCTTGCATCTTGTGGAAAAGAGAAGTGGCACTAGCTTTTGTGATGGTCATGAATTTGCTCTACCAGAGGTTTTTCTGCCTTCATGGAGATCTGAGTTCCTAGCCCAGTGATGACCTGAAGGACTCCCTCACACAGGGTACACATCTAGTAGGGACCAACTCACTGGGCTCTTGTCTGTCAAGTGCTGTGGTTGGAAAGTGTGTGTATCTCCAAAGTTCCTGCTGATGCTTCAACCTCAACAGAACAACATTGAGAGGTGAACTTTCAGAGGGTGGTTAGGCCAGGGACTCTAACCTCATGGAAGGGATGTGTACCTGAAGGGTGCTTCTCCTACATGCACAAGGACTTGGTTCTCTTCCCAGACCACCCCCCCTTATCCCTCTAAACACACACACACACACACACACAATTATTTTGCAAAGCTAGGTGAAGAAGCATGTGGCAGTGGTTTTTGTTTTGTTTTGTCTTTGGACCAAGAGATTGAACCCAGAGCTGCTTAAACACTGAGTCACATTCCCAGACCTTTTAAAATATTTCATTAGAGAGAGGGTCTCAGCAGAGTTGCTAAGTGCCTTCTACATTTGCTTAGGCTGCATGAGAACTCATACTTTTGCAGCCTCAGCCTCCAGAGCCTCTGGGATTCAGGCATGTACCACTGCATCCAGCTGTGTGACAGTGTTTAGTGAGCTTTTCCATCACTGTGGCCATGACACCCGCCAAGAATAACTTGGAGGAGGAAACATTTAGCTGGGAATCATGGATTCAGAGGTCTCAGACCATGGATGGCCAACACAATTGCTCTGGACCCAAGATGAGGCAGTCCATTATGGGGGAACGTCCCAGAAGAAGAAAGCTGCTCATCTGAAGGCAACAAAGTGGCAGAGACACAAGCAGAGACAGAAAAAGAGTGGGGCAAGGATCAGAGGGCTGAAGCACCCTTCCAGTGCCTGGCACCAGTGACCTACCTCCCCCAGACATGCCCCACCAGCTTTAAGTCATCAGAGGGTCAATTCATTCAAAGTACGATGCACCGATAAGGTTACATTTCTCCAAATCTCACTATTTCATTTCTGAATATTCCTGCCCTAGCACCAGAGCCTGTGTAGGGGACACCTCACATCTGAACTATAATAGGCTATAATGCTCTAAACCTGTGGCACCCATGCAGGAGGCTCCCACACAGAAGCACAACCTGAGCAACATAGTGATATATTTTTTTACAAAAGACAAAACAGAGAAGTTGGGGCCTAGGGAAGTAGTTGAGTGATAGAGCACTTTCCTGACGTGCCAGAGGCCTTGGGTTCAATGGCCAGTATGTGCAAAGAACACAAAACACAAACCCAAACAAAAACAGGGCTTGAGAGAATGCGGTCAACACCTCCATTCCTTCCATCATCTGAGGATACAGCAACAAGGTGCTTTGACCTTGGAGTTGCCAGTCTCCAGAAGGGTGGGAAGTGAATTTCTATTGTTCATAAATTACCCAGTCTAAGGGGTTTTGGTAAGAGATGCAGGAAGAGACCCAGGTGTGTGGGAACACCTCCAATTCTTCCCCCAATGGGAAGGACACTTTTGCTGGTTCTAAGATTATAGTCTTCTGTATTTGATCCCTTATCACTTTGAGCATATCAACCCACCACCTTTTGCATTCCAGAGTTGGTATCAAGAAATCTGATGAGAACCTTGTGGGGAAGGGGTGATGAACCCTCCCTCCCACTCAACCCCAGTGGTGTTAATGCCTAGCTCTAGAGCATCACAGGGAGCAGTGTGTTCTGTTATAGCATTCCCATGTGAGCGCAGCACTACCATCCCTTGGACCCCTTCAATTGTGAATTGGAGGAAAGGGGAATTGAATGATTTGAGTGTAGATATGGGGAGGTCTTCAGAAGCTGAAAGTTACTCCAGATGATAACACCATTGAAGCATCTTACTGATTTTCATCTCTCAACATGTAAATATCAGTCTGCATGGCCCACATTAACAAAAAGCTTCTGGGATCTTTTCTTCTTCATATCATGAAGGACAAAAAATTCCTGGACACCCCCACATTGAGATGACCCCTGGGGCTATGGGCAGTTGTGACTGGTCATTTCTTGCTCTGACCTCACGAGGAGCCACTGTGAGGCAATCTCAAACACCCGGCTATATAAGAGAGTGGCTGTGGGTGGGTTTTTGTCCATAAGTACAGGAAGCTCTTGGTGGTGACCTGTCGGACTTCCAGTTAGCGCGTTCGGTGGCTGGTGTTTATGGTTGGTATTTGCTGTTGATTCTTTGATTTGGGATTTGTTTGTTTGTTTGTTTTGTGTTTTGCCTTTTGTTTGTTGGTTTTGTTGTTTTGTTTGGGTTTGTTATTTTTCTTTTCAGCTAGTGTCCTTAATTGGTGTTCCAGCTTAGGATGCAGAGAGAGAGTAGTGAGAGTAGTGTAGTGGCTCAGGGGCCCAGCTCCTGCTATGAGTCAGCCCTCACGGACCATTATCGCGTCCTGAGGACCATTGGGGAGGGGAGCTTTGGGCAGGTGGTAGTAGCCCGCCATCTCCTGAGCGGGACAGAGGTGGCAGTGAAGGTGGTGCCCAAGACAGTGGAGAACAAGGCCGTGCTGTGTGAAAGGGATTGGTTGATGGCCCTGGAACACCGAAACATGATCAAGCTCTTCCAGGTCATCGAGACTGTCCACAATCTGTACCTGGTCATGGAGCATGCAGGTGGGGGACAGCTACGGCGTCACATCCCAAAAGCTGGTGGCATACCAGAGGAGAAGGTCCGCAGAGTGTTCAGGGAGATGGTGCGTGTCGTGCATTACTGCCACGAGAAGGGTGTCGTGCACCTGGACCTGAAGCCTGAGAACTTTGTGGTGGATGCCAGGGGCCACATAAAGCTCATCGACTTTGGCTTGAGCACCAGCTTCACACCTGGGCAGAAGCTGCATGACTTCAGGGGCACTCTCCAGTACTGTGCCCCTGAAATCATCCAGGACAAGGGATTCGAGGGTCCCCCTGCCGATGTCTGGAGCCTGGGTGTCACTCTCTATTTCATGCTGACAGGGACGAGGCCGTTCAGAACGAGCAACACTAATGAGCTGCAGAAGCAGATTTTACAGGGAAGCTATGACCTTCCCCCGCACTTGTCCAAGGGAGCATGCAGCCTCATCCAGCAAATCCTGGAGGTGAACCCCAAGCAGAGGCCCACCCTGGAGCAGGTAATGGGGCACCCATGGCTGAGGCAGGGCGAGGACTCGTCTCCCAGGCGACGTCCCAGCAAGCCACTCCCCAAGCGGCCCGACCCAGCCATCATGACCATCATGGTTGACATGGGTTATGACCCCTATACTGCCTGGCTCTCCCTGGCAAAACGCCAATTCGATGAGGCCATGGGTACCTACCTTATCCTCCAGCACCAGAGAAGCCAGGGGGCTGACTGCACGCTCTGGGTCAAGCCTGTGCGTCGGGTGGTTGGGCCTCGCCCAGGCCCTGTGATGGATCCTCCCAGTGTCCGCCCCAAGAAGTGCTCCAGTGAGCCTGTGCTTGCCTTGCTCTATGAGCAGCAGCAGCCTGGAGAGGCCAAGAGGGCAGGGCAGAAGGGCGCCACCCATGCCAGTGTTCCCGCCATTCCTCTGTGCTTCCTCCACACAAAGACACCCCCCTCCCAGCCTAGCCCCCCAGCAGGATCCTGGGCACCAGTGGCAGATGTACCTCAGGCCCAACCCTAGTAGGTGGGTCGCACAAGGGGGCAGCTCGGCCTCCCAGGGTGCCTCCCAGGGTACCTCCCAGGGCAGCCTGATGAGAGAAGCAGGGGCTGGAGGGGATTCACTAGGATGGCCACCTGCCTTCAGAAACTGTGCTGCTGCGTGCCCTGCTTCCATGGACCCGCCTTACAACCTAGAAGAGGGGCTCCAATGATCCGAGGCCACAGGCCCCCTAGGTTCCACAAGAGAGTGGCCCCAGTGAACATGCCTATGTGAGACAGGACAATGGACAGCCAGAATACCCCACGCTCTGAGCATCCCCTCAGCATGGCCCTGGCTTAGGTCACAAAGCGAACCCCAGTGTCTTCCAAGGTCAGGCGTGCTAACTGGCTCAGGCTTCTCTGTGTGGCTTCCAGCCAGGAGCTCATCTGGATCCACCAGGACTTTCCTCTGCCCCCACCTGCCAGAGACATCAGAGACTCTTTCCCTTCCCATATTTCCCCCTGCCTTGCTCTTCTCTGCCATAGCAAAGATGGTTCTGAATAAATCTGTTTTATCAAATTGTATGAAATCCTCTATGTTCCAAAGCTTAAGACCTTAGTCTGTTGTTATAGGCTTGTGGTAGCATAATACATGTTGGTGGGAGCATGTGGTAGAGGAATTCCTTGTACTTTCACGGCAGCACAGAGTGAGGTGAAGGACCATAATCCTAATATCTTCTTCAAAGGCACACTCATACTTCCTTCCATTAGGTCCCACCTCTTAATGTTTCTTCAGTCTCCAAAGATGCCACAGGTTGGTGACCAAAAATTACACCATGGGGTTATGGGGAAATTACTCATCTAAACTATTGTAATAGACAACATAGTTATGTGTATGTCTTAAGGAGTTTTTGGGTAGCATATCCAAAATCTTAAAACTGATGATAATAATTTCTTTTGGCTGGACTTAGGGAGACTAATTGGAAGCTGCAGAAGATAGGTACAGGAGAGGGAGGAAGATAGGTGTCAGGAGGGAAGATATACAGTTCCTTTGTTTTTTAATTTCAATAAAACCATTTATAATAGCCCCAAATATCCATGAATATCCCATTTTAGCATATAGCTAATATGAAATTATTAATAAGCTCTTTTGCATTTTTTAAGTATATGAAGTCATGTATTTTACACTGATCCATACATTTCATCTGGAACTAGCTGCATTTCAAGTGATCAACTGTCAGTTTTCCTGTGCTGTGCCTATTAGACAGTGTTGTGCTAGAGGCATGAAATGTTTTCATGTAGGTAGGATAAGCTTGAAGAGCAAGTTGCCTCCTAAGCTGAACCTAGGAACATGAATGCAATATTATCAGGTTCAAACACAGAAGGGGGAAGGTGCCCTGCTTACCCTGTGCTCCTGGGTGCGATGGGTGGGCTCTCTTGGTTATCCAGGCAGAGGAAGGGAGAAATGGCTGTAGCAAAAACAGTATGGTAAATTAATGAAATTATATTACTTGCATATATGGATATGCTACAATGAAAGCACTACTCTGTATAATTATTATGCACCAATTAATGGGAAAAAAGAAAAGAAGCTGTAGGTTGAAGACACATACTCTTCCAACACTCTCACCTGTTAGAACTCAAAGAATCTACTGTGGGGATGGGATGGCAAGGTTCAGATCATGAGAAGGAGAGCCAGCTGAGGGTGGGCCTCAGCAGGTCACCCAGGAAGGTGGAGTTATACTGTGCTGCAGAGTTCTGATGTCATTCAAAGACTTGCTTTTTCAGTGACAACTCAGGAAATCTCATAGAAGCTGGGTTTGAGGGGTCATGGCAAGCAGACAGGACAGGAACTCCCTAGACTGAAAAGAAGGTTGACCTAGGACAGGGGAACAAATGTCTATCCAGGAGAGAGACACAGAGATAGAGATAGAGGGAGAGAGCTAGAGCTAGATATATTAAAGAATAAACTCTGGGATATATTGAATTTGGGAGATAAGATAAGGGTAGCATCAACCAACCCCTCATCTGCAAAGTTAGAGGATTTTTCTGCCAAACCCTTCAGGCACCCTTGAAGGGAAATACATAGTCAGGAATTTGGAGCATACCATCTCTGTTTTACAGAGAGAGAGAGAGAGAGAGAGAGAGAGAGAGAGAGAGGTTGATTCAAGGCCAAGAGACAGCTAGAATCACCTTAAAGTCTCCTGTCCCCTTGGGTATGCACAAACCTTATCCTTAACCTACCCATATCTAGCCCAAACAATCTGCTTTCCTCTACCCCTTTTATCTTGTAGTTCTAATGAACACAGACATTTCTTCCCACTTTTACTTCTCCTAATGGCTTTCTGTTGTATTCTTGTTTCTGGTGGGAAATCACCTGGAGATCTCTTGCTTTGTCTTGAACACCTGGTGAAAGAGAAAGCAGTTTATAGGGCATAGCTCCAACATTGGCTCTTGCAGCTGAAAGTGCCATCACTTAATGACAGCTGTGATTCCACTTCCACCAATATCCTCCCCTGACTGCTGAGGGGGCTGAGATTCTCCATGTCCAAAAAATTCTCAGGTTTGCCCCAGCTGCTTCTGTATGAACTATACTTTCAATATTGAGGGTACAGAGCAGGAGGTCCCAGTCTTAGTCATTCTCGTGAGAGTAGAGAGATGAGAGAGATTTCTGAGGTCTTGGATGCACTCCAGACCAAAGCAAGTCAATACCTCTCTACACATGAGAGCTGGGTATCAGTCATCCTTAAAGGTCTTCTTTCACTCTCTTGGAATCCAACCACCATGTATGGAAATTTGCCCTAGGTAGCTTAAGAGATAGACTCTGAAAGAGTAACTGATATATTGAAAGAGAGGACATAAGAAGGAGAACTCAGTCCCAGACCTAAGCCACCCCTTTTAGGGCCTGGATATGAGTGAGATTATCTTGATTCTTCATCCCCCAGTCAGCTGCCCCAGTCAACAGTCCATAGAGCAGAGATGAGCTGTCCCTTGAGTCCTGCCTGAATTTCTGACCCAGAACAACATACATTGTGTGTTTAAACCAAATGGTTTTTATTTACACTCCATAAAACTTGAGGTAATTTATTACACAGCATTACTAACTGTTACATCCCATGGGACCCCAAGCGCTTCACAGTAGGACTTGACTTGATCTGCTTCTGTAATTCTTTACTTAAGGAGGATTTTAGAGAATAATGGAGAAATGCTAAATGCTAGGGAAAGGCCAAAGTAAAAATCACAGTGTTGTCCAGATCAATTAAAAGCAGGAAATAGACAATCATTGCTTGGAAACATGTTTAGTAAAAACCAAAGAAAAATAGACAAGGTTTCCCTCCCTCCACAGATGAGCATCTGGCCTTTTGTTGGCATCAGCTGACCCAAACTGCTATTCCTTGATCTCTCTGCTGTCCCTCCCCATGGTTCCAGCTTCCAGCCCAACCACTGAGAGGAGTGGTCACTGAGAGGTAAAAGACTTCAGGGAATTACCTGCCAGGTGTTGGGAGTCACAGTCTAGTTTCCTATGACTGTCTCCATGGTGATTCTGGTTTCTGTGATTCTATCACTAACCTTACATTGCCAAATGTTTTAGTAAGCTTTGTATCACAGTGACCCAACAGGAACAACTTAAAGGAGGAAAAGTTTATTTGGGGCTCCTGGTTTCAGAGTCTTAGTCTATGGATGGCTGATTCCCTTGTTCTGGGTCTAAGGTGAGACACCACAAGATGGAGAAATGGCCCAGAAGAGTAAATCTGCTTAGTTCAGGGTGGGGTCAGTAAGCATACAGAGAGAGGGAAGTGGTGGCAGGGAAGACGCACCCTTCCAGGGCATTCCCCCAGTGACCCATCTCCTCTAGCTGTGCCCTACTTGCCTACAGTAAGCCCCCTCAGTCACTCTATTCAAACTAAGATGAACTGATTAGGTTATAACATAATTTAATCATTTTACCTTAGACAATTCCTGTATTAGCAGGAGCTTTTGGGAGACACACCATATATCCAAACTCTAACACTAAAGATGGCAAGACTGAGGCCTCAGCTTCTAGGCAGCCAGGAAGAGAGTTGGTGGGAGAGGTCAGGGTAAAAATGTGTCCTGGGGTCCCCAGCAAGATTTTGCAGAGTCGCAGGGGTCTTTGTTCATAGCAGTTCCTGGTCAATCGGTTTCCATCCTTCCTTGGGACATGGGCATGTTTGGGGGCAGAAATTTGGAACTGGAAGGGGTTGTGGCTATAGTTGCCTGGTTCCTCTCAGGAGAAAAAACAGTTTTTAGTCAGTTCTTTTTCTTCAGCTTGACATTTTTACTATGCATTTTTATGAATGATTATCTCTATTAAATCCTTGTTCCATAAATTTACCATACTGTAATGCCTTGTAACATCATATATATTTTAATCTAAAATTTACTGTTTTAGAAAATGATCATTGAGACATTCAGATGATTATTTTACACAAAATCTGTATATTAAAATTTAATATTAGTCCATATCTAATACAAATTACATTTGTAGAAACTGGGTCTATAAGAAACTGTAATGCTGTCTTAGGAAGTAATATAGGAAATTCTGTATATTCTTCCAGAGTAATTGACTTATCTTAAAATTTATAATTTAAAATTTTGCTAGAATCCCATACTATTTAGTCATCCTCTATTTAATTTTTATGTTTTAAATTATTAGGCATTTAGATAAACTTCAGTTCATCCCTCTCCTGTTCTGCCAAATTGAGGTCTTCTGGGAATGTTATCCATTGTTCAAGAAAACAACAACAACAAGAAACTGTGAAATATAATTTTATTTCTTTATTTTGGGAAATGCAATATTTACTGGATGTGAATAGCTTACCTCCAACAATCAATCACCTTGACTACATGAATCCAGAGATGTAGAGCATGTTCAGTTACTTATTTTTAATTCCTTGAAGAAAAATTGAGTATTTTAAGACTTCATTTTAGAGTCACATAGATAATTGCAATTTAATATTCTGAGTAACACTCAGATAATTCTTGATAATTGCTTGTAAAAGTAGACTGTTCATAAGATCTTAA